TCTTAGGTCAATGACCCTTCCTGACCTCCAAGAAGTCAATGGAATATGTATAATGCGGTTCCTGCTGTCAATAGATTCGAAATGAGCACCAGAATCTATTCCATACGGCAAGTCCTAGAGTAATAAATCAGGTTGGTGTTGACCTTGGTCTGACCTTCACACCTGATCTTTGGTCAACGTTATTTTCTCATTCAATATTTGTGGGGCCTTGGAAAGCGTCTCAGAGATGTATGGCTTCGTCAAACACTTCGTCTCTGTATCAGATTGGACGATTTCCTAGAAATTGCCTTCGCTGAAACCATGGCCTGACTTTGACCTGCCATAGGTCATTGGCCTTGCAAGGTACGTTTAAATTTTGTATTGCAAACGATCCGTTATTCAATTGTCTACAGCTATGCACAATTTTGCGTGGCTACGCTGTGCCGTTCGGAAACCATTCTGGAAAAACCTTCGGGGGTCAATTTGACCCCCACCCCCACCCCAGCGCGTGTTAAGATGTACACCAAGGTTACAGCTGTCCGCAAATAAAATAATTGCAGTCATATCCGTAGCTGGTACAGTATGAGAAAGCACAGAGTAGAGACTGATGCAACTTTTCCTCCGCCCTACCCTTTCCCTACGGTCTACCGCCCATGCATATATATGTCAGCAGGTAATGTCATTTTCACCACCGAGCTGCAGTCGAAGCCACTCACTGTATCCGCCCAAGAAGAACACTGTCTCATTGGCGGGGAGTGCGCGCGTCCACATGGCCACCTCGTCGAACTCACAGTCGCACATGTGGTGGAAGTCCCGCCGCGAGGCTGTTCGATGGCAACCCACCTGGAGGTGGACGTGACGTCACGACACCAGCGGGTCTGCACTCTGTGCTCGTGATCATCGGTTTCGAGCCGCGGGACTGAACACCAGTCGCACATAATTTGAGTTCGCACGTTTTGCTCGGCCAAACTGTATAATAACACATGGGCCACGCATGACTTAAAAAAAACAAACTGTATGGTAACACGTGGGCTACCCTTCTCGTCACCATCTCTACCACCACCCCTCTTGTCCCCGCAGTGCGAGAACCTCCCCTCCTCAGTAGTGCGAGAGTGGCCTGGCGCCGCTACTGACCATGACCTCGACGGGGTCAAGGACACTGCCGGCAGCCGGCGCCGTCTTCGGGAAGACGGCGTGAGCCTCCGTCTTGTTGTTGATGTAGAGCTGCAGACCCGCAAGGCTTCCATTTACAGCGTCCAATGGGGCGTCGGACCTCCAGCGCACGCCTGGCCAAGTTGGATGATGTCACGATCACTGCGGAACGCTCGCACACCGCAGGCGGCAGCGTGGAAGAGCGCGAAACTCGCTCGATTCCGTTTCAGCCAAACCGGGGAAGATCCTGATGTAGTGATGACGGCGGTGGCAACTTGGGAGATAAGGCGATCTACACCTTTTTCAAAAACTTCCATGTGCAATTCGTTTTCAAGGGGGAAGCGTACGGGTGGCGAGTACCCCTAACAAACGTGTATGTGAATTTACCCTCCCCATACAAGGCGGTTCAGAGGTTCCAAGAAGCCTCAGAAATCACTCCCAAACTGTTTTGAGCGCGAAGCCAAGATTTGGGGGAGCTGAGCTGACATTATTTTCACACACGTGAAATTTGAGGTTTTATTATCTCTTCCGCCAGGTTGTACCAATGACATGTTGCTGAAGACTTAGAAAACGCCTATTTCTCCAGAGAAATACACTTCAGGGAGGTTTTGTATCTATATTTTCTTTTCCATCTTGTTCTGAAGTGCATTATTAGCGTTTCTGTGGCCTGCGTAGGGTAAGGTCATCCAAAATAAGTTGTGGCGAGGGCAAGCCTGCCACAATCAGAATATTTGCTGGTACCCAAATTTCAAGTAGAGCCTGTGAACGATGCAGGCAATTTGGCTGGCTGAACTTCGGTATGCATTCGCAGGCACTTTCGCCGAAGTCGATTTCCCTCGATTCCACGCAAATCCGTCGATTTCAGAGCTGACTCTAGCTTCACCAGCCGTGCAGCACAGGCTTGTTGGGCATTTCCTACGCGTTGCAGCGTGGCCCGATGCACGCCACGACATGAATACGAGCGGCTCAGGTCCGCAAGTGAGTCCCACGAATATAACAATTACAGTCGGCTTCAGAATCACAGCAAAGAGGTGTCACGCCATGGTCACTGGTCCAAGAGAGAGCACAAGAGATTCGCACGCCGAAGGAGTCGAGTCTGACTCTCAGCTCTCACCGACGTTGTTCCATGTGTTGTTCCGCACTCGGCCGTTGACGCTGGCTTTCCAGTACTCTGAGCCGGTCGACACCAGTGCGGTCAGTCTGTGTCTGTCCAGATAGAGTGCGATGCCAGGCGAGCCGGCGTCGTCACCGCCTGCGAGCCGAGGAGACCGAAGAGCTAATGTGGGCTACACACCTGTCCTGAATGGATACAGCCCTGATCTGAATGACTACAGACCTGAGCTGAATCGCTACGGACCCGAGCTGAATGGCTGCGGGTCTGAGCTGAAGGGATACGGACCTGAGCTGAATGGCTACGGACCTGAGCTGAATCGGTAGGGACCTGAGCTGAATGGCTGCGGGTCTGAGCTGAAGGGATACGGACCTGAGCTGAATGACTACAGACCTGAGCTGAATGGCTACGGACCTGAGCTGAATCGGTACGGACCTGAGCTGAATGGCTGCGGGTCTGAGCTGAAGGGATACGGACCTGAGCTGAATGGCTACGGACCTGAGCTGAATCGGTACGGACCTGAGCTGAATGGCTGCGGGTCTGAGCTGAAGGGATACGGACCTGAGCTGAAGGGATACGGACCTGAGCTGAATGGCTGCGGACCTGAGCTGAGCGGGCACGAGCCTGAACTGAATGAGCCAGGGCCACATCTGACTGGCTACGCACCTGAGCTGAGTGGGTATGGACCAGAGCTGGATGGGTGAGAACGGGAGTCGATTGGGTGTGGATCGGAGCTGAGTGGGTATGGACCAGAGCTGGATGGGTGAGGACGGGAGTCGATTGGGTGTGGATCGGAGCTGAGTGGGAACGGACCGGAACTGAGACTAGACCGGGACTGTTGTTGCACTGCAAGACTAAACTATAACATACAATCGACACATCGGGTGGCCGCCTAATGTCTTACAGTGGGACTCAAAACAAGACACGCATGACGCGTCCACAGCAAATTCTGCGGACTTCCATAGCGAACACAAATCGCACACTTAATTCTGTCCGCGGGGATAAACGTGCAAACAAGGCCATGCACTGAGTATCACATCTTCGCACCGGTTCACACGACGGCCGGTATGAGGGCAGACAATGGGGGAGCAAACGCCTGGAGTCGTGCTTACCCGAGCTGAGCAGGTAACGTCTCCTCGGTGTCTCTCCAGATGACTCCTGCGCCTCGGTGTCGAACATGGATTCGGTGTCTTCCAGCTCCAGTCTCACCCAAAGACTAAACGAGAAGCCCTCGGTGCAGTCGGCGGGGTTCCTGGCACAGGGGTCGCGCTTGGAAGCCCAGCCGGTGTGGGTCATGCACTGCGGAAGGGAGCGTACGTCGGCTTGATGGTCACGGGACAGTCTCCCGCGACCGCGGCTGCTACCGCCCGGTGTCCTCGTGTTGCGGAGACACCCGCGGCAGCCGATCGCCATCAATCTGCAGTGGAGTGAACTTGAGCCGGAGAGTTCGGGGGAGGAAACTTTCAGATGCGTCAAATCTCCTTGGAACAGGCTGTCCCGACCACTCCATCGATGGGAAGCGGTTTGCACGATGCATGACTTATCCAAGCATTTTCCGCTTCAGTTTTTGTCAGCGAAGGGAGTGGCAGCTCAACAGTGAGGCAAACAAGGTTGAGCACGCTGGGGAGCGGGTGAAGGCTCGTGAGTTAGTGGACATAACACTCGCTATAAGAGCCATGGCAGCGGGATGGGGCTCCCCGGGCCTCCCCGGGCCTCCCCGGGCCTCCCCGGGCCTGTCTCAAGACCCTCAAACGGCTGACTCTCAGTCCGGCGGAGCAGTCCACGGGAGCTGCCGAGACGATGCGGGAAACGGATGGACTGACCCCGGAGCCGAAGAGCTTGAGCGAGCTTGAGAAGCCGGGCGGGCCGTTGGCAGTCTTGAAGCTGCCGGTGCCGGCCGTGGACGTCATGTTGACTTCGATCGAGCCCCAGTAGTAGTTGGTCGTGGCCGGGTATCTCGGGTCTGTCGGTCGGCGCAGGCTCGGCGTCAGAGGCCGGTCTCGCTCGCACAGGCCGTGCCACCAGACCCGGTCACCGTCGCCCGTCGACCCGCCGCCGTGCATGTGGCGCCGGACCCAGGCCCCGGGCCTCGGTCACAGCCGCCACTGAACGGTGATCGCCAAACGCCGCACTTACGAGTAGGTAGCATTGTGACTGAACATGGCGCATTTTTGTGACGTTATCGTAGCCCGTTCTTCAGGGTAAATGCGCTTCATCACTACGCGATTGTCCCCTAGCGTCGGTACGGCAGGTGACACACCTGTATCTGGTCGAATATATTTTTGGGATGGAAGAAGAGCTTGTTAAAGGATGAATCACGCTAATTTTTCACTTTCTGTTGAAAGCCATGTATAATTAAAAGTAAAAATACGGCCTAAGGTAGAACCTAACTCCCCTCTTGATTGCGACGGCTGCTGACAGCGGTAACAGCTGTTAACGTGTTCTCAGACAGCTGCTGGGTGCTCGTGCGAGCGTACGCTTGGCTCGAGACACCGCCAAACCCTGACAGACGATGGCACCGAGCCAGACATACAGTGAGCTGGACGCAGCCAGACATACAGTGAACTGGACGCAGCATCGCGCGCAACACCCACCGTAGTTAAGTGGAGGTTCCATGGTGATCTCGCCAGGCGGCAGCACCGTCGGATAAACTATGCACAGAGCCAAAACATGTCAAGTTAGCTGAGACGCACTTGGTGGGACACATCATGCCACTGCTAGTGGGAGATGGAAAGGGCAAGGATAAAGGATGACCAATCACGCCGGCGCACTCCTTCACATACACCAGCACCCCCACGGACCCGTACAGGCACGCACACACACTCAACCACGAGTGGCTCTCTCGCACGCCTCCATACGCTGAGCCGAGGGGAGCCGCCGGCTCCTGTCGGCCGCCCCCTGTCATCTGAGGGGCAGGCCTCGGCGCCGCTCGCCTGCCTCTGCCTAGGTCCAGCCTAGGTCCAGCTAGGTCCTGCCTAGGTCACAGCTCTGTCTCAGGTCGCAGTCGGCAGGCGAGGGACTGAAATGAGAACAAAGAAGACTGTGGGAGACGTGATGCATGTGTGCGGCGGCAGCTCTGTGTAAGGTAGAGCGACGAGTGCGCAGGCAGCGCGCTCTCCAAAATGGGGTTCTCTCGTAATTCGGCTCACTTTTTTCTCAGTGGTGGGGAAAGGGGGTCAACTAAATTTTGGAGGAGAGGTATGGGGCCTCTTCAGCTGAATAGGAAACTACGTGCATGCATCAACATCACGAACGGCATTATTATTCAGATTATCGTCCTCATCTGGCGTTGGTATGTAAACAACGTTTCAGTCAGTTCATTCTCCGACCTTCTTCAGTTGTTATTGGGCCCTGAGAGCGACTGGATGGTGTTTGAATTTCCGCCATTTACGACGACACGAATGGCTCCTTGGTATTCCCTGGAATCGAATAAAAGTCTACTGATAACGAGTTTAGCGTTCTACCAGGAACCAGGAAATACCGGGCATTCCGGAAAGGACCCGTCCTTGCCGGTTAGCTCATTGGTAGAACGCTGGACTCGTAATCAGAAGAACCGAGTTAGAATTACGTCAATACCAAGAACGAAATTCAGGCTGCGACTGTAACACAATAAACACGCGCGATAGTCCGAACAATTATTCCATCTGCGGTCTCCAAGTTCACGGCCATGGGGCCCTCAGTTCGAGTCATTCACGTCCAAGAAGCAGAGTGAAGTCGTTTAATGCCGACATCACCTACCATGACCGAACTGTGTTATTGTATGACTCACACATATACGGCAAGCGTTTTGGCACTGAAATGTACGCAATAGCAATGTCATGGTAAACGATCCGACAGTGCCTGCTATTTTCACGGAATCCCCAGACTTAACCTGACGTTGCTTCGACCGCACATGACCTTACGGATGTAATTACCACTTCAGTAGCTTGGCTTCAGGGTGCAATGCTTTGCGGATAATTATAATTTAATATTTAAAACGCGACTGCTTGGCAGTTGGAACATATCAAACTACCGCCTAAGAAACACCGCGGACGCTCGTCTAAGGTGGTGACGCGTCGCAAAGGCACAAAAACGTTCCCAGTGTTGCACGCCGTCGTAGAGTCCTGGCTTTCTGCTTCCTGTCGCGCAATATCACAGCACAGTACGCCGCAGCTGAGGCACATGACGTTATCACTCAGTGGCCTGGCTTCGTGGATATTAGAAAATATTTTACACCACAAAGCTTGGCAAAATTATTAAAGCCCACACAATAAAATGACACTTTATCGAAATCACTATGTAGCAGCCTTTTGCATGATCTGCGTTCCACTTGCACTTGTACAACACCCTTATCACACAAAAATACACAAAAAGCTCACAGCGTTATCTGACACAGAGCGTGACTCACACGTCTGACAAAGAAGATCTCTCGGCGAACAGTACCCGGCCGCCAGCTGGACGCCCCTCGGACCCTCCGACGTCAGGCGGATCAGCCGGGCAGAGGAGACTTCTCGGCGAGCGGTACCGGGCCGCCGCGTGCCGCCGCCTCACCCCGCCCGCCGTCTCTCCCGCGGACAACATGGGTGGCGGCGCGGGCGGCGGGCCGGTCCGGCGCGGCGGTGCGCGCCGGCCGTCGTCCGGTCGCCGGGGCAGCGGTACAACAGACCGGCGGCGTCGCGCTGCCGCCGGCGGTCTCCCGGACACCGACGTCAACACGGCTGGCCGACGTAACCGAGCCGCGGGCCTGAGCAGCCCACTGACGGTACCCGGCCCGGGCCGGCTCACAGAGACGTGGCCTGACCGGCCCCGCCTGACCTGCGGAAACCTTGGGATCTTAACACTGCCTGGCCCGCGGGAGCCCGCTCTCACCGGTCCGCTGCCTGACAGAAACATCAGGTGTGGTCCTGCACCCTGCCCCAACCCCACCGTCGGGAGGATTATGAACCCTGCTAAAAAAGGATTGCTCTGAAAAGCCACGGAGGTGTAAAATGAACTCCAGAGGTCAACTAGGTCACACACGGTCTCTTCACTCCATTGCGAGTTCTACGGAGATGTTCAGGGACCTTTGTTCGTACTGAGACCACTATGTGACGCTCGAGAACTTATAATGAGCTTGGGGGGAGGAGGTTAAATACATCTGGCATGACAATATGATTCAAAAGCGGTTTTACTTATGATCTAGCGCACAAATATGTGGTGAGCGGTGTACATGTCGTGATGTGCCGAGCAAAAGGTACTTTGCAGGCGTGGAGCACCATGCGGGGTCGTCAGCTCCATGCGTTCGAGGCAGGACCGAGCCTGGAGAGCGATGCTTCTCCGCGCGGAGCACCATGCGGGGTCGTCAGCTCTATGCGTTCGAGGCAGGACCGAGCCTGGAGAGCGATGCTTCTCCGCTAGAAAGCCGAAGTCATGTAACCAACTCCTGCCGAAACCCGGAACTGAGACCCGGGCACTCGCGCGGGCCGTTAAACGTCATATCGGTCACCAAACAATGACAATTATGACCGAGGGGCTTGGCGCTCCTGCGGGCTTTACAGTCATGATGTAGTCACAACTGCCCTGCGCTCACCATCATGACTGGTGGCAAGGTAGCACTGTTTTTTTTAAGTCGGGCTGACGTTGAACCAAGCAGAAACATCCCGGCACAACACAACATGGCACAGGGTTACTCGGTTCAGCACAACGTGGCCATTAGAACATATACGGGAGTTGACCTCGGCACGTGGTATCCTTGAGATCGGTAGAGCGCGTGATGCGCAAGCTGACTGACTGACTGGGAAGGATGCAATCACGACATCGGGAGGAAGGCAGACCACTGTTCTTTATTCCCGCCAGCGGACAAAGCAATGCGTTCTCGGTAACCCCGACAGGCGGGCAGACCACCGCTCCGTTCTGACCATGCCCGGCCGTCAGAACGCTGGCGTAGTCATGGGCGACAGGCGAAGCTCGGGTGTGAGAGCGCTGCCGGCAGGCAGAACACTGTTGTCCTCGTTATCACGAGTGAACGGAATGCTGCTGGGTGATAGTGAGAGGCCAGCACGGAAGTGTTTCGTAATCACGGCTAGCGGATAAAGCATTGCATCATTTTCACTCACGGCCGTTTAACAGGGCACTGCTGTCTTCGTCATCACCACCGGCGGAAGAACGTACATTCTGTGAACGACAAGCCATCTTGAAGTGCGGCCTTCCGGTCGGCAAATGCATGCGACTTGCTCCTCTATTTCATAGCCAGTATGTAATACTGGAAGGAATGCATGGAGTTCGATGCGCGCGTTGTACGTCCTGGATCGATAGCCTGACAGGCGAGTCACGACAGACCTGTCGAGGCTGGACTGTCGCAGAGGGCAGCGATGACACCGTCGATGAGGACTTGGCGTTCGCCTGTGAAAAGGCATGGGTGCTGAACACGGCTGGGGAACTTGACACGCAATCAAAACACCGTTAAAGTGAAACACTGTTCATCATTTTTCATAATTGGAAGACCAGTTTCTGATTCAAAGTACCCTGATTTCTTTCTGGGAAATAATACCATTCCAGGTCATGAAATCGGATGCGCTTTACAGGTCGATTGAACTCCTACCCATGTTTAGTAGGTGCGTAAACGTAAGCAGCATCAGTGCTGGTGTGCTGGTGGTGGGAAAGAAGCGACAGAAACAGATGTGGGACCGAAATCTGAAACAGCGCCTGTACCCAGCCATCACGTTGCATGTTTGGGTCCAAATCCACGTTTTCTTGCTGCTATTACAACTGCTGAGTTCGAGTCCGGATTCATCGTTGGCGTAAAACACGGATATGAAGTGGTCAGGATTCTGGACTCGAGTCGGGCATACCAGATCCGCACACATGTCTGTATCAGAATAAGATGCATGACATTCTGGTCACTGATCTAAAAAGCCAATTTGCGGAACGTGAAAGGAATAATTTCGCGTGGCAACCATTTGCAGATTTAAGTTAAAACCCAGAAAAAGGTTACTCGCAGCCAAAAACTACTCTAACGGTTTTTGTTGCAAAGCACGCAGTCAAATTCATCAGGTCACGTGGTTTCACAATGACAGATACAAGGCTAGGGCCTCAAATCCAAACAGATATGTGGGTCAAATCCAAACAGACAGCATGCCCTACATAGAAAATGGTTTGTGAGGCACTGGCTCTCACCACCGTTGTACAGGATGTTCTAACCGCTAAAGTTCATCATACATGATGCATTAATGGTGACATGAGCTGTGTGTGGTGCGACGGGTCTTAATCAGGGACAAATACCCGACTCGATTCATCACCGATCTGCATATTTCTGAAATAACTCACTTTACCTTCGACACCCAGCTACGCAGCCAGCTGAGTTTAATCAAGATGAGGTTCGTGGGATCATCTACAGACCAGATCGCTGCTGGACAAAACAGCTCAACGACGTCTCGGGTGAGGTGAGCGGCTGACGCCGCCGATTGGCGTGACGTGGCCGGTGGAAATCACGCCGGCGAAGTGACGCCGCCTCCTTTGCTGCCGCAGCGAGGCTCCAGCGAACACCGCGGAAGCGCGTCTCCGTCTCGGGCGCCGCGGCTAGATCCCAACGGAAGCAACCGGGGTTTGCCTCCTCCTGGGGCTGTCATAGCGACGCTCGGCGGAGACGTGCCACGCTGGCTCGTGGCTGAACAGAGCGCAGAAAACGTGGGACCCGCCACGGGGGACCTCGATGAAGCGGCGCCGTGGTGGCAGTCGTGCTCACCACGGCGGGCCTGGGCGACCTTCGGTGGAGACACGCACGGCTGTGCTCTGCGAGGTCACACCCAGGCGGCCCTCAGCCGAACAGCGCCACGCCGGCCCTCGACGGCGCCGGGTCCGCACCCCATCGTAGTCTGCGCCGACAGCCAGCCAGCGCTGACCTCTGACCCCTGTCCGGGCCTCTCGCTGGGAGCATTGAGCTGGGAGGCGCTCGCGTCC